CCAGGATTTGGGGGGCTCCTCCCAGGGTGGGGCTTCTGAGCACACAGCATGTGCCTCTCTGTCCCCTTTCTTCTGCAGATGACAGAAGAGTCCCTGGGTCACCAAGCCTTGTGTTAAATGAGACACTCAACACTATCAAGTTAGTTCTGACTTGGAGTGTAGATCTACCTTTCGAGAGGAGATTACCTTTCTTCCGTAGAACTCCAGATCCTTTGTACAGCCAGAGGAAGCGGGCAACTTTTATGTAGACATGTTAGAATATGTTGCTGTTGTTGATTCCCTTCGAGTCAAAAGGCCTGAGGCCCCTGTACATCTGTCGACATTTATCCAAGTTCATAGAGTTTCCAGAGGCATGTTTAGGAAGTGGATGCCACTCCTACTTCCAAACCTGTCATAGTATGTTATTGTTGTTATGGGCCATGGAGTCGCCTGCAATGTATAGCGACCCTGAACCCTTCCCTGTCCATAAGAATAAAAAAGTTACTTTTCTATTCCCTAGATTGATTCAGTGACTGGGATAATCGGGATGGGAGTGTCAGAGGCAGTGCGATTGGCACAGGACAGAGCAGGGTTTAGGGCTGTTGTGCATAGGGTCGCTATGAGTCGCAAGCGACTCGACGGCACATAACAACAGCAAGAACATATGTAACCAACCCCACGGCAGCCTTCCTGTAGACCTGGCCCGGGGGAAAGGGCCCCACAGTGACCAGGTCAATGACACAGAGGCCAGGACTGGCCGTCTTGGGGCTGACCCTAGTGGCCGCACTGGACCAGGCAGTGGTGTCCAGCAACAAACCCCAGCTCCTGGCACGTTTGCTTCTCTGGGTCTCGGCCTGCGCCACTGCCGCCGAGAGGACAGAGGACCAGCAGGACCTGGCCTGTTCCCATCTCACTGGTGGGCGAGAGATAAGGAGGTGCGAAGGGGTTCGCTGCAGGTACGGGTCCCCAGCATGGGAGGGTGGAAGGGCTCCAGAAACAGGACAAAGCATCAAAGCCACTACGACGGCTCCAAAACGGCCCGGGGAGCATTTAAATAAGCGCGTAGTAACAGCTCTGACCAGTCAATGGCAGCTACGGCTCCCTGCCTGCTCCTTATAGGCTGTTGTGATTGTCTGTCACGCGAACTCAGGGGCGGGCCTGCGAGCAGGGCAGAACGAACCAATCATTCTCCGCTGCGGCGCCCTGCGCGCTGGCGATAGGCTGTGCGCGCTGTCCGTCGAGCTCGGGGGCGGGCCGGCGGCGGCGGTGGTGGCGGCGGCCGGCGGGCGCTCAGT